ACCTGGTTGAGCACTTAATCCAACTGCCTCATTTTACAGTTAATGAAATTGTAGCCCAGAGAGTTCAAGCAGCTTATTTGAGGTCAGACAGCCATCAAGTTATAGATCTGAGACTCTCACTCATGCTCCATTTGTGACTCTGGGCTGAATTTGCCTCTGGTGCCCTGTGTGCTGAGGGGTCTGTTCACCACCGAGCCTGCCAGCACTGAGCTGTCAGCTTGCTAGGTCAGTGCGAGTTCAGCCGTTAGCTTAGGCAGGAGGATGCAATAGATGAACCTCCATTAAAAAAAAGAAAAAACCCAAAGCTAACTAACTAATAAAAATAATATCTGCTTGTTAAAAATCTAAGCAACATGTCTGCAAACACTTAAAAAGCAGCCCCTCCCAGTCCTCCGCAGCCCACTCCCCAGGGGTAAGCACTCAGTGCTGCCTCCAATGGCTTCTTAATTCCCTGCCAGCCCCTGGGTTTTATAGGATCCATGCCACAGCAAGGCTATTTTTAACAAGCATCCTAGGCTTCAGGGGGTTGAGGAGAGGGAAAGAAAAAAAATATTCTATTTGTGTATTTTTAATCCATGTGCATTTGAGCAAGCAGTGGCTTTCCTGTGCCTGCCGCCAAGGGTTTTGGACAATTGATTAGACTTTCTGGGTGCAGGGCAATCCTGTCTCTCTCCCTAACAAGGCTGGAAGGCCAGGGAGAGGTTCAGGTGATGTTTCTGGGACTGATGGCTGTCTCAGCTGGCCGCCTCCTGCTCCTGCCTGCCTCCAGCCCCTCTCCTTCCCGGCAGTCTTGACAGTCCTGGCTGGGTCTCCCAGAGCAGTGGAGGCCTGGGAACCTGACTCTTTGTGCCAGCTCATATTTAGAAATGTCTCCAGTCAGAGGTTGGCATCTGTCCCACTTGGGCTCTGGGCAGGGGGTACAGTCACATGTGCTGCCTTCGGGTGGGCAGATTCTGAGTGGGCAATGGCCTGCTCTGAATATAAACACACTCCTTTTATGCTGAGTAGCTGGCATCTGAGCCTGTGCTCCTGGGCACTGGGTGAAGGCGAGAGCTGGTAGCCGGATGGGCGACAAGGAGATGGAAGAAAGATGTCACAAGGCTTGAACTGGGCAAAATGGTGGTGGAGAAGGAGTCTCAGCTCCCTACCCCAGACCCCCCCTGCCTCAGTTTTATGCACTCCTTTTCCAGGTGCCCAGAACATTGCCTGAGTAGGGGATCTGCAGCCCCACGGGGGTGGGGGGCAGAGTAGGCCAGACAGTGCCCCCCATCTGGGCCTCCCTTTCTGCCTTGTGAATTCCCCAGTCTGCTGAGGGGCGATCCTGGGAGGCCGTGGGGATGGGGATCAAAGTGAGACTGGATGTGGGGCTGCCTATGGGCTCCCTGTCTGTGAGCTGCCAGCCCTTCAACCTCTCCAGATGACACCTGCAAAAACGTGACCCTGGGTGACCACGAACATTCTACAATTTCTTGCTCTCCCTGCTTTCTTTCCCATGATCATGCATGACAATGTATGAAATAGACCAACCAAGCCCAGTCTTAAATAGTGCCCCTTGGGTTACGATCAGCATGTCTCAGCCCTGTCAAAGCTCTCCTTTCTTTTAAACAGTTTCTTTAGGAAGGGGCATTCTGGTTCATTCACTGAGGCCTTAGGTACTTAATGAACATGGGTGAAGTGCTACCTGCAGCCCGCCAGCGGCTGATGGGGGCTTTGAGACCTCTTACATGGCACCGCTCCACCCCTCTGTGGGCCCGCCCTGCAGATCACGGTGGCTTGCTTACCGCATTCAGCTCTCTGGAGAGGAGCCTGCCTTCCTGCAGCTGAACCTGCAGAGAGAACACAAATGCAGCAGCAGGATTTCCCTCTTACATGCGTGTGTGCTCAATTGCTTCAGTCGTGTCCGACTCTTTGTGAACCTATAGACTGTAGCCCGCCAGGCCCCTCTGTCCATGGGATTGTCCAGGCAAGTATACTGGAGTGGGTCACCATGCCCTCCTCCAGGGGATCTTGCCAACCCAGGGATCAAACCCTGTGTCTCTGATGCCTAGTCAGTGCCAAGTGTGGAAGCCCCTAGCATTCCCCACCTCGATCTGCTCCATCTTTCCTTCCTCTTCCCACATCTCAGGGGAAGAGAACTCCAAGCAGTGGTCAAGAAGGCTGAATAGACATTTTCTTTATGTCTCCACAATAGCTGAATGAATGAATGAATGAGTGGATAAGCAAATGAGCAAATGAATGGAGGAACAAATGGAAGCTCCATCTCTGCTCCAAAGGAACTTCGAATTCGAAGGGGAAGAACCATGCCTGCCTGTAGCACGGTAGCACTGTGGGACTGAAGGGGTCCCTAGGGTTGGACTCACCCCCGCCCCCTCCACTCTTCTTTTTATGGGAAAGGAAGTGCGGGGCTGCCATGCGGCAGACCTCAGAGGTCAGAGGATGGCGAAATCGCCCAGGGTGAGTGAGATCTGGAATCGAGCGCAAGGCTGCCCTACTTTCCCTCTGCTGCTGCCCTGAGTGTCCCTCGTCCTTGGGAAAAATTGCCTTTTCATATGGTTGGGAGGGGATGGCGCAATTTTTCTTTGAGGGTTAATTGTTTTGCTGACAGCACAGATAATTAGGAGTGAGAATCCCGGAGCGAGGGCGACAGCACCATCTGCTGTGAATATGTTTCAGCCCCACCTTGCAGGAGGGCTCGAGAGAGCTCCTGTCCCCACCCTCCCACCCCCAGCAAAAATTGATCGTGCTCTGGCTGTTTCCTTCAGGAACTGCAGCTGCCAGGCGATCCTGTAGCCCGCTGGGTGAGCTGGTGCCCAGCTTCGAAAGGGTGGGCTTCTCCCCGCTCCCCCAGGGCATCTGGCATGCGTGCACAGTAGGGCTCACTTCTTACTAGGTAGAACAAGGACCCCGCCCCTGCCCCGGGCTGCCGGATACACAGAGCGGTACCCCCAGGAGATGACTTTCTGTTCTTCCTGTAGCCTGATGTCTTGAGTTCTGGTCCGCTGCTGAGGAAGGTGGGCATGTGGGTCTGCAGTGAGCTCGTGGCTGACATTGGTGTTTGGGCCATTTTTTCTGTTCAGTTCCATGGATTTGCCCCCTATCCTGGGTTTCCTGGCCTTTGACCTGTGCTGCTTGTTCTAGAAGGAGCTCAAACTGACTTGTTTTGTGGGATAAGAATTCCCTAGGTGTGACTTCCTCCAGGAGAAACAGAGCAGCTTTGGCGTCAAACTGAGAATCCCATCATCCAGGAGCATCTGAGATCTTTCTTCGTAGGGGGTTGAACTTCGGGTAGTTTTTTTTTTCCATTTTCATTATTTAGGAATATATCACGTAAACAAAAGAGCATTGACCTGTTTATATGCTTTTTGAAGGTAATACCAATAACTGCTTAGTTCTTTCAAAGGGGCATCTTACTCCTGGTGCTGCCTTGTGCAGAAATGTCTTGGGGCCAGAGCCGCAGAGCTCCGGGTCCCCCGGAGGCTCAAGGTTGGCACTCCGCCCCTCCTCCACCCCCAGCTGTGGCTATTTATCACAGCAGCTTCCTCTTCTGAGCTGCTCCTGTCGGCTCGGAGCCCCCACATTCCTTCCTTCCCTATTTATCACTTTGTTCTCTGTGCTGTCTTCACCTAGACCCTCCTCACAGGGGAGAGACCACAGACCCGACCCTTCTCCTGTGTTCATCTCTTCTCCCCATTCCCCCAGGCCTTTGTTCCCCTCCCCCTCCCCACTCCTGCTGACTCCCGCCCCCCTGACACGGTAGGAAATTAACTCAGGTCTTAAGAGCTTGCTGGAAAGAATGACAACTGGGAGTCAGAAATTCTAGCCTTGACTCTTTTGCTACTGTCCTGTGTGATCTTTAGTGAGATGCTCAGCCTTTCTGTGCTTCTGTTTCCTTATCTCCAAAGTAACCTTTAAAGAGGATCCCTTCACATCACTACTGTGAAACCAAATGGGTGTCATGGATGCAAAAGCAGCTGGCAGGGTATAAATTATGACACGTGTGTAAGACGTTGTTGTCAGGCTGAGAGCATCCCAGGGACTCCAGGGCCCTGCCTTCCTGCCCTTATCCCTGTCCATGGTGCTTCCTCTTGCCTGCAGCGCTGCTGGCCCTGGCGGGTGCTCTCCACCTGCCGCAGCCCCTTCACTTCAGTGGGTCCATTGAGGCCCAGAGGAGCCCAAGGTTGGCGTGGAGCTCGGAGTCACAGCTGTCTGGGCAGCGCCCCCAGGAGCTGGAGGTCATGCCTGGTCAGAGGTGCAGGGATACAGCCAGTGTGGCCCCAGTCTCCAGAGCCCAGAAGGTCTGCACGCCAGGGCATGGCTGCTTCTAGCTGAGGCCCTGACCACCTGCCCCCACCCCTCCACCCCAGGGGGTGAGCTGTGGTCTTAGCTCTGAAATGAGGTCACTCAGTGGGGCACTGTCTGTGTCCCTCTGCAGTGAGATTTGCGGAGTACCCTTGTCTGTTACTCTGAGCGAAGGACTGTGAAAGGAGGCTGCAGGTGGGTGGCCTTCCCGGAGCCCCCAACCCACAGCACACTGGAAGCCTTCCAGGGACCTGGCCTACAAGAGTTGAAGAATATCCCCGGTAGACATAGCCTTGTTCTTTGTGGGTTTCATTGGTGGAGGGAAGACACTCAGATCCTTCTTCTTTCTCGGGCAGTGGGGTCTGTTGGTGGGGAGGAGCTGAACTCTGAATGGTGGGTAGGATGGTTTCAGGCAGGTGAAATAAACTATGCGGAGGTAAGAAGATAAGAACAAATGTGTGTGTGTCTGGGGGGAGGCATGCATGCGGAGGGCTGGGGGTAGGGTTGGTGGATGTGACACTGGCAGTGAAGACCCTTGCTGAGGTAGTCTGTACAGTCACCTGGAGTTATAAGACCCAATAATAAAAGAGAAAGAGAAAGAAAGATGGCTGGAAAGTTCTAAAACAGTTAAAACTTGGACCTGTGTCTCTGGCCCTGGTAGGTCATCGGGACTCTGTTCTTCCTGCAGGTCCCCACTCTGAAGCAGCTGGGCTCTCGGAAGGCCACGCCACCCCCAAGGAGCAGGCCCAACCAGGAGAAGGTAAGGGATGGCGTGGAGCCCTCCAGAGCCTGCAGAGTGAGCACCATCTGCAGCGCGCTGGACCTGGAGCCTCCAAGGCAGGACTGCGTCACCGGGGAGACTCAAGAGGAATTGATACTTCGGCCCCCAGTGACATGTACACGGTGTAATGACAGGTAATGAACCTGAGGTTCATCAATCCTTTCTGAATGATGTGGCAGGTAGGAGAATATATCAGCCTGGAGTAGACATACAATGTCAACTCTTGGGAAGATAACTATGCAAACAGAGCAGAGTAAGGCCTGATAAGATGATAGATGGATGCTTTATAGTTATTAGTTTCTGCCCCAAGCGCTTGCTGGAGTTAGCACTAGAAGATTTAGCATCAGGCAGGTTCACTTACTATACCTTGTAGGAAGGCCTGATGCCATTATGGATGTATCGCCTCCTGTTTTAAGACCTCAGAGTAACAAATCAAGGAGTCATTATTTCCCATAGCTCCTTTGGGAAGCAGCAGGGTATGGATTCTGGTGGGGAAACAGAGGCAGCAAGACAGGCAGGAGCTCTTTCCTGTATCAGTGATACCTAAGGGACAGACCTGGGTTGGATCAGATTTCTTGAATGACAGGTGAGGTGATGGGTTGGTATTTCTTGTTAAAAAGGAAGTAGGGACTTTGTGGCTTCCTTTAGCACTCCAAAGATGCCAGGGCAAGTAGCAGATGACCAAGGCTGGCTAGGAGAGGTCATGAGTAGGGGTCTAGAGAGCTCAGGAAAGGGCTGACAGACACTCTGGGTCTAGTAAGTAATTGGAGGAGGTCAGTCATAGCAGAAAACATTGAGAAGGTTCTCAGAGCCTAGAGGGCAAAGCCCTGAGGCTGGAAGGAGCAGGATCCAGTGGGATGGAGACCCCAAAGATGAGTTCTGATCTGATGGAGGGTCTGTTCCCATTGGTCATCTGGTGGAGAACCTGTTCCCACTGGCCATTTGGCCACTGTATCATACCGGGTATGACTCTGGCCATTTCCACCATGGGGTGAACAACAGGCTAGGGTGGGAGCAAAAATAGCTTGGGGCCTTGGGAAACTGACCAGGGCAGGGGGAGAAGGCCAGTGGCCTGGGGCAGGAGGCCCAAGGGGGTGGGGCAAATTCCATTCCTGTGCAGGCCAGTGTCAGGGTCCATAAGGCTAGCCAAAGGGTGGGGAAGGGCAGAGTATTAGGACTTCTGGGTGGCCTTGTTCTAAATCAGGCAGAAAGAATAAGATGAAGAAGGAATCCAGAAAACAACCCAATTCTAGGAAATGGATCAGCTTCAGGCACCAGGCAAGCCTGGGACTTGACTTCTGTCTATATGAACAAATGGAAGGGGAATCGAGCTTTGGCGGGGAGGCGGGTGGGGGGTGGGGGGTCCCAGCAAGGATAGTCAGGGGTCTGGCTAGGCCCGGGGGGACTTTGCTAGGGAGCTGTCATCTTCATAATTTCCTGGGGCTAGCTGTGTCCCCAGGCACCCTAGACCCTAGGGTACTGGCCCTGGGCTATGCTCAGACCCCTGTCTCTCAGTGGAAGAGATGGTCTGTGCATTTTCGGCTTGGCTGGGGACCTGGGCAGGGCTAAATCTGCAGGGCCTTGTGATGGGAAGTAATGGGGGCAGAAGGAGGCAGAAAAAGCCCAGCCCTGCAGGTGGGGGTGTGTGTGTGTTAAGTCGCTTTGGTTGTGTCCAACCGTTTGTGACCCTATGGACTGTATGCAGCCCGACAGGCTCCTCTGTCCATGGGATTCTCCAGGGAAGAATACTGGAGTGGGTAGCCATGCCCTCCTTTAGGGGATCTTCAGGTGGGTGGGTGAGGACTTCTCATGTGTACAGCCTTAAGTAGGTAAGGGGCAAAATACATTCTGATTAAGTCAAGAAAGAACAGCAGATTGAATCTATCAGAAGGTTCTTAACCTAGTTTCCCAGTATTTACCAAGTACCTGTTTTGCACTCCGCACCATGCTAGTGCCAGACAAACAAAGATGCATGAGGTGTGTCTGCTCCCAGGGGAGGGAATAAAGGGCAGAAAGGAGAGCATGGGAGTAGAGACAGATCCCGGATTCTGGGAGCCTTGGGCTCCTGTCTCAAAATGAGGACAAGACTTCCTCACTCATAGGCTGGTTGGGAGAATTAAATAAAACGAGACATGCACAGCACTTAGCACTGCAGCTGGCACCATAATAAGTGATCAATCATTCAGTTTGCTTCCATTGTTCTGCTCTTGGAGGAGCTCACGGTCTGCAGGCAGGAGGGAGTAAAGAAGCCTGGGAGAAACGCATCTGAATTCCCAGGGCTTCTAACTGGGAAGCGAACTGGTTTGAAGCCGGACACGACCGAGCGACTTAACACACTTGAGGCCTGGCCTTTGAAAACCTGGTTCTCAGCATTCCTCTGGCCATGGAAAATGTGGTTTAAGGTGGATCCAAACACTCAGAAATGGTGACTGTGTGCGAATGCTTTGGCAAAAATGGGGACAAGACTTCCTCACTCATAGGCTGGTTGGGAGAATTAAATAAAACGAGACATGCACAGCACTTAGCACTGCAGCTGGCACCATAATAAGTGATCAATCATTCAGTTTGCTTCCATTGTTCTGCTCTTGGAGGAGCTCACGGTCTGCAGGCAGGAGGGAGTAAAGAAGCCTGGGAGAAACGCATCTGAATTCCCAGGGCTTCTAACTGGGAAGCGAACTGGTTTGAAGCCGGACACGACCGAGCGACTTAACACACTTGAGGCCTGGCCTTTGAAAACCTGGTTCTCAGCATTCCTCTGGCCATGGAAAATGTGGTTTAAGGTGGATCCAAACACTCAGAAATGGTGACTGTGTGCGAATGCTTTGGCAGTGGCTGGGCCCGGAGATGCTTTCTGGGCACTGAGTCGGGTACAGGGTGGGAGGGGTGCATCCAGGAATTTACGGAAACGTTGAGAAGAGAGGACGTTCTCAGAATACTTGGAGAGTCTTGCCTTCTAGGCTTCCAGCGCTGCCCTCGGGAGTGGGGCAGGGTGAGATGGGTACAGAAACCAAGGCAAGACTTGGGACCTGGAGAGGGACTGCCCAGAGAGACCGAGCATGAGCCACACACAGGGTTGTAAATTTGAAGCAAGTGAAATTAATTGTAATAATGTCTCCTTGAACTCAATGTGTTCAAAGTATTATCATTGCAACATGGAGTGAATATAAAGATTAGTGACAAGATAGTTCATATTCTTCTTTCTGAAGATAGTTTTTGAGGTCCAGAGTGCATTTGGTACTTCTAGTGTATCTCGGTTTGGACCAGCCACATTGCAAGTGTTCAATAGCACCTGTGGCTTGTGGCTACTGTACTGGTCAACCCATGTTTAGAATTCAGAGCATCTTGTTCAGGGGCACCAGAGGCCAGGTGTATCCTGAGCTAAACAGCAGGATCTACTATTCTATCCTCTTCTCATGATACCTTTGACATGAATTCTTAGGGAAACTGGCTTGAAGAATCAGAGATGTCTTGAATTACTTGTGCTGGATGGGAACATATGTCCTGGCCTGGCCGTGGACCTCCCTAGCTAGCCTCGGGACACCACCACTTCCAGGTCCGGGGCCGACCCCCGGCAGTTCCCAAAGCTCTCTGAGCTTCAGAACCTGTGTTGGGAGTGGCACTGAGAAGGTCTGTTTTACTGGGTAACTGTGATGACTAAAGAAAATGATGATTACTCGGTGACATTTCAGGCCAAGAAATAAGCTTTTTATTTTAAGGACTGATGCTGAAGCTGAAACTCTAATCCTTTGGCCACGTGATGCAAAGAACTGACTCATTGGAAAAGACCCTCATGCTGGGAAAGATTGAAGGCGGGAGGAGAAGGGGACGACAGAGGATGAGACGGTTGGATGGCATCACTGACTCGATAGACATGAGTTTGAGTAAACTCTGGGAGTTGGTGATGGACAGGGAGGTCTGGCGTGCTGCGGTCCATGGGGTCGCAAAGAGTCGGACATGACTGAGTGACTGAACTGAACTGAAATTAAATGAAAACCAAGTGGTGTTCTCCCTGTGGGCTAAGTTTGGCAAAAGTTTCCTAGTAGGATTTTCTATAGTTCTGTCCCTAACCTTTCTGTTGTATGAGGACAGTGTGTTTTCATAGGGCAGGACAAAGGGGCAGGGACGAGCCTGCACCTTCACCCAGGGTGGCGTGGCGGCCGCCTGTGGCCCTCCTTGTCCAGAGCCGTGTGGTCGGTCACTTGGAGGGGGCAGGCCCTGCAGGCAGCTTGCAGCCCTGTGTCAGCTCTGTCGTAGGGACTTCTGGGGTCCCCAGGCTTCTAGTTTTAGAGTGCGGACACTTCTGTGGCGCTGTGTCTCAGCAGGCTGAGGCTTGCTGGACACCCCAGGACCCATTACCTAAGCCATCCCAAGTGTCTTGGAAGCTGACCCAGGCACCCTACTCCAAAATCTGCTTGTCTTTCTTCCCGTCTCTCCCGTCTCCCAGTCTCTGCCTTTGAAACAAAGATCCATCCCTACCTCACCTGCCTCCTTTCTTTCCACAGCTGTAAAAATACAGGTTATTCTCCTCTAGGGCCAGAGAGCCAGTGTCATAGATGTGGCTGCTCTTTCAGGGCTTGGAGGGGTATTTTCCTTTATTACTCTGTGAATGACATCTACTCCAGGCACTAATTTCCAGCAGCAGCTGAAAACAGTCATTTCTCTGTATGTGAGTTCACACAGCACCCTGGCACCGGTCACTGGCATAGGGCTAGCACTCCACAAAACCAAATTCCCCTAAACCCAGCCTCGTCTGAACACTGGGTTAAATAATTCCTGCCTTTGGGGTTTTTCTGAGACACAAATGAGACAGTATGTGTGAAAGTCCTTTGTAAAGTTATAAAATGTTATTGAGGCTCTTAATTCCCTCCTTGGGGTGTTTTCTTGTTTGAGAGCTGGGTAGGTTCGAACCACGCCCTCCCGCTCAGCATCGTGAGGGAGGCTGGGTCAGCGTCACACACAGTCCTCCCGCCCGCAGGCCCAACGCAGTGCTCCCCGCCTACTCCTCCCCACAGCAAAGGCACTTGTGAGCCAACCTGTGGTCTCCTGTGTGTCAGGGACAGGTTCCCCTGGTGTCTTTATTTGCCTTCAGCCTAGTGTGTGGAGTCTTTAACTCGTCTCCCCAAGTGTGGAATCT